TATACACATACATATATACATGTATGCTTACATACATGCCCTATCATATAGTTAGGTCTATATATATATGCACTTTAATATTAATTTCACCCTCCATATGTATTCTAGCTAAAATATGAAAACTTATAAACATAGTTATGTAACACTATATTTACCCAAGGGTGAGTCCTTGATTGCTGTAAATCCTGGGGGGAAATAATGAATATCATGACAATTAAAAATAAAAGTTTAAAACTTTATCTTCATATGAGAGCTTACCATCTCCTTTCAGCAGAGTGATGATTAAGTGATATATCAAATTATGTCTGTCATCTGTTTCCTGGCCTTGGGAGGGGCCAAAATACTTATTTCCAGGGGGCAAATGGATTAAGAGGCAGCCATTTGGGAGGAAAGAAATAAAAAGTAGCCTGGACAATCCATAAACTGGCCAGTTTGTCTCTGACTAGATCAAGAGGTGGTTTTTGCATTAAAGATTAATAGAAGTGTCACTCCCAATCTGTGATTTCTGCAAATATGGGGTCCCACCCAAGCTGGATTGTAAAAGCAGATGCAGAGAGCCAGGATTAAATGGAGGCCTGGGACAGTGTCACCTATTCTGGATCACTTCCAAAGTCTCAGGAGCTAACTGAGGTGCTGGCTGGGGCAGGGAGCCTGCCTGACCTCTGTGTACCGCTGAGACACTGGCTGGAAAAACTCAGAATCATGCAGGAAGAAAAAGCAGCCCCTCAACCAAAGAAAAGAAAGAACGTGTGTATGTTGCAAAGGTAAACATCACATCAGCTTTTTTTAAATACTCTGGAACCTAAAGAAAGCAAGCATACAAAACATATTTTGAAGCTCTTTTGTTTTAAGTGCAGGTTAATATGTTCCATGTGCCATTTCATATTTTGAAAGAATACTGTGAGGAACTAAGCTATCACTCAAGGTACTTGTAAAAGCAAATATCTCCAAATCTCTTCATTCAGTTGTTAAAGATGCAAATGAGTTTAGCCCTCTAAAGTTTAAGAGAAAACGTTTATGTTTTTTGTTTTTTTTACCAACCTCAGCTGCCAGAAGCACACCACACGGTTTGTGATCAATACTTCACTTTTGAGGAAGAAGCCAAATCTAATCTTGGGAAAACGAGATGCTCCCACATGTCAGTATGGAGAAGGCTATAAGGCAGGAAGCACTTGTTACACCGAGCCCCTTCTCATCAGACCGCCAGGAACACAAATTTTAGGTTTGGGGTCCTTGCTGCTTTTAAAGAATTTTATCAAGAAATTTTCATAAAACCCTGGTTGAAATGTGATGGAGCATATAAACAGGATGAGGGGGATAGGAATATAAGTCACGAAGGAGCAGGCTCGAGAAATCTCAGGGGCCTATAATAAAGTAATGATGTGTCTATCCACCTCTCAGTAATTCAGCCTGAAATGTGGCTTACAACCACTACAAAAAAAAAAAAAAAAAAAAAGTGAGTCAAATAAGCCAGTTTACCATACAAATAAATCATGAGCGGTCCAAAGACAGATGCAGATGCAGGCAGTAGGGGTTAACAGTAGGTAATAGTGACGATGCATTTGCATGGGAGGTGGGTAAGGGGGCCAATGAGTTATGGCTGTTAACAGACAGACAGCACAGGGGTTGTCAATCAGCTTTTTGAAACATTGACACGTGTCTCCCCTCAAGATATTTTCAGTATTGTGTTCGTGCCTAATTCATTTCAAAATTATTGCTGCCAGGCCCTGTTAGTGTTTATCAAATGCATTTATTTTATTTTAGAAATGTTTCTAACTAAAGGGAAAGATTAATCGGGGTTGCTTATGATGGTCTCCCCCAGGAAAAAAAATCTGTCCATAAGGAGGGGAGGTGGACATTCTCTTCTCTAAATCCTCTGGCTATGTTTTGAAATAAAACATAAGAGTTAAATGATTATATTTGCTCTCTATTCCACACTGGATGCAATTGATTTTAACTGACTAAATTATCTGATCTCTGCCAAGAATTTTATTTCATTAAGAAAATGATATTATAGTGCATCTGAGATCATAGAGCAGACTAAACATAGTGCCAAAGAAGTTCTGAGAACGCTCCACAGTGAAGGTCTGATTATTTGCAGATGGAATATGAAGGGAAGAAGGGGGAAGAAAAAAAAAAAAAAAAAAAGACCCAGTATCAGATCCCAGGCATTAGCCCTCACCAATCCTGGTATCACTGCTGCCTGCATGGAAGCACAAAGCCAAGAGCATAACTGATCTGCAGAACCACAACACCTTCTTTTAAAGGGACTAATCACTTTTCTTCCTGGAAAGTAATATTTCACTGCCACTGTCCCAACACAAAGGGAAAAGGGGAAGTGTTGGTACCACAAAAGGCTCTGCCATGTCAGCTGTCACCGAGGACACGATTTGGCTGGTCGTCAGGCACTCAGGGAGGAACTCATTTAAATCCATCTCCTTCGGGAAAGCCAATTGTTTGGCGCGAAGCAACAATTGGTGGAGGATCAATCAGGGGACATGAGATCAATTAAAACCAGCTTAGAGTTCATGAAGAGGAACAATTCACACAACCTGAGTTAGATCTCTATTCATCTCAAGGCCCTCTCAATGCACCCTTAAGCTTCCTTGCAAGGCAGAATAGCCACTATCACCCTACACTGTCTAGCCGGCCCTTTAAGTAGTTCCACTTTTAATTAAAAACACAGTGCCCCCTTTGTTGGCACGGAGAGTGAGGTCACTTTTAAGGGTCGCAGTTATTTTAGCCAGAAAACTTGGGATTTGGGAAGGGACATCTGTTAAGAAAAAAAAAAAAAAAGGTGTGTGGGGGGGGGAGGAAACACACTTCGATAGAATTTTTTATTTTTCTGGGCAACCCTCCCCATGTCCATGTTCTTGAAAGCATGTGAATTTCGCGAAATTAAAAAGTTGGTTTGGCAAACGTTACCCCTCCCTGCACCACTTCGGGACGGGGCTGCTCAGTGTCAGCACCTGGGGATGTGGAGGGTATGGGATTGTGCTAGAGCAACTTTGAAATAAATAGGGTTTGCCTGGGATACCTAAGAAGACATCCATAGGGAGACTTGTAGATGGCACCCGGAGAGCAGCCTGCAGTATCGCTTCTGGCCGCAGGAGTGCTGTCATGTCATGCTCCACGTTAAACTCTGCAGAAACAATACGCTGATCCCTCCCAGTTCGGCTGACACCGGACAGACCCACAGACCGACAGACAGACCGTGCGGGTCAGACAAGACATCCCCGAATGAGCAAGTCCGCTCACACACAAGCACTTGGCAAAAGCCTTTTGATATTTCTGTACTTCCCAAACTCTAAGCACTTGACTTTTTCTCGACCCAGGAGACCGCAACTCCTGCTTCTAAGAGGGGGTAAGAGGGGAAAGCCTCTCCAAACACTTTTGACCACAGTGTCACCAAAAATTGCCAACTCGACCAAATCATGCCTCGAAGGAAAACGCTGGGTTGGAGAAAGGAGCCGGCGGGAGGGGAGAGGGGGGAAGAGGGAGACAGAAAAGGGGCTTTTCCAAGACTTGGTATCCATATCACACTCTCTCTCTCGTGGCCTCTGGGAGGCATTTCTCCCTAGTATTTTTATACAGGAGAAAGTTCCTAAAAATAAGCATTTGCAAACGTCAGAAATGAGAGAGAACGAGCAAGAGAGAGAGAGAGAGGAGTCTCCTTAGAAACCACCAGTTTGCAGCGTCCGTGGGTGCGCAGGCTGCACCCCGCGGGCTGTCTCCCCGGCTCTGCCCCCGGCGGGGAGGTGAGAACAGCTTAACGACTTCCTAAAAAAAACGGTGAAAAATTAGGGTGCGAAAAGCTCTCTCTCCGAAATCTGCACGCAGGACTGGAGATCCCATAAAACGAGTTATAAACAAATCACATCGCAGGTCGAGCGAGACGTTTACAGCCCAGAGACATCAAGACCTGTTAACCCCCAGGCAGATCCTCGCCGCGCCAAGGTTCAAAGGGCTGGGCTGCTCTGAGGGCGGCGCACCTCCCGGAGCGGGGGATGGGGGATGCAAGGTGCAGGAGGGGTGGGGACTGGGAGGGGGGGTGTTTAAACCAGCAGAAGACTGGATGGTGTGTAGCAGCTCTTCCTCTAAGTGCAGCTGGATGAGCTACAGCCACCTCGGGGCTCAGAGACCGGACTTGGCGCTCTCACTCTGCGGGAGAGCTCGCTCTCTGAAACCTTTCTGGAGGCTTCCACCCGCCTTCTCCGCAGCTCACACAAGTGATGGAGAGGGAGGGAGGGAGAGAGGGAGCGGCTGAAAAGCCGCAAGTGAATTTCACGGAGACCAGAGAAGCCTAGCTCAGAAATAGCTGCCTTGTGGAGAGAAGTAAACGGGGGATGGGATTGGGGGCGCAAAGCCCGGCCTGTCCCCCAACACATCACTGGGCTGGGAGCGCTCCCCGGAAAACCTGCACCCCAGCTCCTGCTCCAAGCAGAAAGTTCCGTGAAGCCTCTCACGCACACGTAGCCTGAGGTTCCAGAAAAAAGACATCCGTGGGGCCCTTTTTTCCTGGAAATGCACGTCCTCCGTCCCGGCCCGGGACCCCCGGAGAGGCTCTCCCGCGCCCCCTCTTACACGCGCGCCCTGAGGCTGAGTCCGGACCCACCTGGGGTCCCCATTCGGGGCGCACACATGCGCGGGGGAAGGCAGAGCTGCAGGGGAGACGGTCCCACGGACCAGAGGGAAAAGGAGACGGAGAAGAACAGGGAAACGGGGTGCCAGATAAGCAATGAGACCAGAGGAGAGAAGAAGTCGGGGCAGACAGACGCGCGGCGGCGGCGAACCTGGAACATGGGCAGGACCACACCGGGGAGCCCCGGCACCCAGCGCAAGCCGGGGTCACCGGCTCCCCGCACGCACCTTCTGAGCCCAGGAAAGTGGGGAGGGCGGTGTGCCCTGCAGCGGGGGGCACCCTCCTGCTCCCCGGCGCCCGGGGACCGCGGGAGGAAAGGAGGCAGCGCCGCGCGCCTCGGGACGGGACGAGCACCCACCTCGCTTGCTGCGTCTCCAGCGGTTGCCCTGGCAGTGGCTGTAATCCATGCAGTTGAGGATGATGAGGGCAAAGGAGAAGAGGCGAAACTGCATCTGGGCGGCCGGGCGGGGCAGAGGCGCCTCTCAGAGTCCGGGAACTGGAGGGCTCATCGGAGGCGCGGAGCCGGCGCTGCCCGCGGAGGGAGAGTGGCCGGGAGCCGGGGGGACGGCGCTGGTCAGTTCCGAGCGGCCAGCATCTCCCCGCCTTCACCCTGAGACAGAGAGACCGGGAGGAGAAACGGACTGGGTGGGGGGGTGGAGAGCCCCAGGGAGGCAGCCGCCCCTGCGCGCGTCCCAACTTAAGGAAGGGAGGGAGGGAGGAGGGGAGGGAGGGGGGAGCGGACTCATCGCCAAGCACTGGCCGCGCAGCGGCTTATCCACGAGCGCACAGCTGCCTCGGACCCGGAGCGGGAGGTGATTGCAATCAGTCCATCAGCCACCTCCGCGGCGCTGGAGGCTCCGACCCGGGGGGGAAAGGGCGTGTGCGGCTCTCCTGGGAGAGTCAAGAGCCCCGCAGGCACCCAGGGCGCGGGGCTGGAAGAGCGCGTTTCGGTCCCTGGGTGGATCCCGGGGGTCGCCCGCCGCGGGCACTTACGTCTCGGGCGGTGCGGGTGCCTAGGCGCGGCGCCCCATCCCGGGCTCGGGAGCCAGTCGCCCCGCTAGCACGTGGGCCGGGGGAAAGTTGGCCCCCGGGACCCGCCGCCGGGAGCGCCTGGCAGCTCGGGGTTCGCGGGTTCGAAGTCCGCGGAGGGTCCCCCGGTGCCGCGTTCCCGCCGGTGAGTGCGGTCCTCGGGCGACTAGGGGCGCGCCCGCTCGCTCTCACTCCTCCCCGGGTCCCTGTGCAATGGGGCGGCTTCCCGAGCTCTCTCTGCAGCTACTTCGCGGCTAAGGTTTCTCCTCCCTTCCTGAGCCGAGGGAGGCAGCACGCTCCCGGGGAGGCCGAGGGGATGTGGCGAGCAGCGCACTTTCCGACGGAGATGCAGCCGGCAGTGGCTCAGGATGCTTCTATAAGTAGGTGGTGCTGTGGTCCACGGCATCGAAGCCAGAGCTGCCTAGGAGTTCCTGGGTCCTAAAGCCAGAAAGTCCCGGGTTTCCCTGAGGTCCTAAAGAGCGCTGACAGCCAGCCTCCAGCTAGCCAGCCTAACCCCCAAGCGAGCCCCCCCCCCACCTCCGGGCTTTCCAGGAGTGGGTAGCAGGGGTGGGGGCGCCCCTGGACCATGCGAGGCTGGCTTTCTCCCGGGCACTCACTCTGAGGTCGGTTCCAATCTCAGCGCCAACCTTCCTGCAGAGGACCAGAGCCACTTGATGGCTTCTAAGCTGCTGATGATGATGAAGAGAGGAGAGAACACTTGAGTCTCATTCCCAAAGATGCCACACCTGGGCCACTTTTTAATTGGCGTTTTTGGATGATGGGAGCGTTTTTTGTGCCATTTTAGTGTTCTTTTCCAGGCCTTGAATTTCAGATGTCCAGAAATTGAAGACTTGAGACAATCATATCGTGACAATAAGAATACTGTATGAGAATAGTCATGTTTATCAACGACTGCCTTATTGCCTACCTCTAATTACTTTTACCAACATCACATGGCCATACTTAGGTGCTAAGAATCCCCTTTCTGCACGCCTGAGTTGCATAAATCTGAGTGGCTATCACTAGTTCCATTTCCTAGAAAAGGGCCTTTGGCTCCTGAGACTGGCCCATAGGGCACAGAGTTGACAAACACGTTGCAGAAACAGAGGGTCTATTTCTCTGCTCCCAGCGTGTTTGATTTTTATCACAGAATTTGGAAGTGGTCGGTCGGAAAACAGTTCAGCGTAGGGAGTGGGTGACACAAACATGATGACTTGATATTGCAGTGAATAGCCCTCCATCATAAATACCACTCCGCCCTGTGCTCACGCACACACACACACACACACACCAAATGCACTTCTAAAGCAGTTAAACCTATGGGAGAATACAGTCTTCTCCAGATAAGCCTTCTGTCCTCTTCTGCCGCTTTAATACCCATGCAAGAACAGTGGTTATCAGTGTCTTTTCAACTCTTTCAAAGCAAAACTAAGCACAAGACCAAGTAAATCTAGCACTCCGTCAACCAGCAGGGTCACTTGAGGCATTTCTCTGGCTCTCTCAGCTTCTTGGCGATAATTTTAGGAAATTAGACCAAGAACTCTTCCATTTCTATTATGTTCTGGCTTACAATCAACTTTCTATTTCCATCAAGAAGCTGGATGTGCAATGGCACAGAGAAATTGTAAAAAAAAATTTTTAAAAGAAGTTTGATGTGGAGTCTAACCAATGTGAGGGCAAACCTCATCACTGACGGGTTTTCAATGTAGGAAAATAAGTCAGCTACTGTCCTCCTTAGATTTACAGCCTGCTTTCAACCTTCTGTCTTCAAAGATTACTTCCATAATTTTAACCATTTGGGTTTCACAGTTGGCATTTTTATTTTAAACCACAGATACTTTTCAACTTAGTGAACTCCCAGATCCATTTTAGAAAAGAGAATTTTAACAGCACCGCTTCTATTGGAGCTTGGTTAATGCTCTTAATAAGATAAGAATGGGCTCTGGGAGAAAAGAAGATGCCTAATTCCTTTCTTCTTGTGCTTTCTCCTGGTCTGTCTCTGCTTTTTAAAGGACACCACTGATCCTCAAATATCTGTCACACTTAGTTCTTGAAGTACTTAATCTCTTTGGGCCTAGTCTGTTGATAATGAGGATTTTGAGAAACCAAGATGGTGGCATAAGGTAAACACCTACATGTAGCCTATCACAACAATTTTAAAATTACAACTGGAAAACAGAGAAAACATTGTCCAGATAATGCAGATTTCCCCCCCACCCCCATTCACTGAATATTATTCCTGATTTCAAGACTCCAGGAAAAATCTCACTTCTAAAAAAACAACTCAAGTGGGTCCTAAATTATTAACTTTAATTCTGTATTCTTTCAGTTCTAAACCCTGAATGTGTTGTTGAGGCTAAGAGTTCATAGTTTCTCCATTTTGGAGGTTCAATGGACTTTTTCTTCAAACTGAGTTTAGACGGCAGTTTCATTAAACTGGCTTTGTAAATGGACATGTACCTGGTGTCTGTTTACAGAGAAGCATACAGATGAGGTAGACATCCCGGGTGACAGAGATGGTTAACTGAGGGCAGGGATGAGGGGATGATGTTATAGATACGAGGCAACTTGTGTACTTTAAGTTTTAGACTTGAATTCATTCATACAGCTAAAATTCAACCTCTAATAAAGGACATACAGGGAAAAGGTTCTGTCCCAGCCAGCCAGTTCTGCTCAGAAACAACCAATTATTCATGATTACCTTCCAGGTTTTGAGTATTCTTCCAGAGATATGTTGTGTTTATCAAGAAAATGTGTGTGTGTGTGTGTGTGTCTGTGTGTGTGTGTGTGTTGCTTAACAACAGGGATACATTCTAGGAAATGAGTCCTTCCTTAGGTGATCTTATTGTCCTACAAACATCAACTAGAATACTGTATTAACTAATATGAGCCTCAATTTTTTTTATACATCTGAGTTCACTCAATATCAGTTCATAAAGGACTTTCCTGGTCCACATATTATTTAATTGCCCAGTTGTATTTAGCCAGCTCCCTACTGATGGATAGTTAGATGGTACTCATTCTTTTTCTGTTGTAAACAAGGCTTCAAATAACCTTTTCATGGGTCATTTTATCTTTTCACTATAAAATTCTAAAAGTAGAAAAGTTGGATCAGTTGGATGTGTGTGTGTGTGTGTGTGTTTCTTAAAATTACCTTCCAAAGAGGTTTTATCAAATTACTGTGTATGAAAGTGTCTGTCTCCCTACAAACCAATCAATATGCTTTGGTCTTTGATACTCCTAGCCAGTGGTCAGCAAACTCATTAGTCAACAGAGCCAACTATCAATAGTACAATGATTGAAATTTCTTTTGAGAGCCGAATATTTAAACTTACACTTCTTCTAATGCCACTTCTTCAAAATAGACTCACCCAGGCCATGGTATTTTGTTGAAGAGCCACACTCAAGGGCCCAAAGAGCCACATGTGGTTCATGAGCCACAGTTTGCCGACCACAGTCTTAGGCAAAAAAAAAAAAAAAAAAAAAAAAAATGGTATCTCAGTTTCTCAGTTGTTTTCTTTTCTTCTAAATAAATTATGTGTCTTTAATATACTTAAGCAACTTATATTTTCCATAAACTCTCCATGATATTGGTGACTTCTTTTTATATGTTCTTTGTCATTAATTTTTGTTTTATAGAATACATACATAAATATATATATATATATGTGTGTGTGTGTGTGTGTGTGTGTGTGTGTATATATATATATATATATATATATATATATATATATATATATATATCTCCTAATATTTAAATAGACCAAAGAGTGAACAACCAAACAACTGGTCACTATGATGTGCACTGACCACCAGGGGGCACCTGCGGACATGGCAGGTGTCGGCAGCAAGTGGCAGAGCATGGAAAAATGGTGGGTGATGGCCAAGGTGGGTTGGTGGAGCAGGTGAGCGGGGGCACCAGACCAAGGCAGGATGCCGGTCACTGTATTCAGGGTGAGCCTCTGGTGGTTATTGAAAATTCTTTGCTCCGGCGCCATGGAGCCACCAAGTGCTTGCACCCACTGCCTGCGCCCAGCGCCAGCCCAGATCCTTGAGCATAGTCAGTGGATGTAAGGGGTGGCTGCTGGCCCTGATTGCCCCTGAGGACTTTTCCACATCCCCCTGCTCCTGAGGGGCGATCTGAAGATGCCTGGCCCACTCACACCTGCCTCTGGTGAGCGTCAGTGTGTGGGTTCAGCAAGTAGCTGCAGGAGTGGGGCTGCTGTCAGGGGATCAGTAGGCAGGGGACTGGGGCTGTGGTGGGAGGAACCGGGTGGGGGCACAGAGGATGGGCCAAGAGAGACTCGCCCCTGTGCCCACCGCAGCCTCACAGCCCACAGTTCCTTTCAAGGTGCATGAATTCGTGCACTGGGCCACTAGTAGATGTATATTATCTTTTGAGATTTGAATTTCATATCTTTTTCTGAGTTTATCTCATTTGTCTCTAAATTCTACTTTTGACATATATTACTATATTGAAAATTATAAAATATTTTTATGTAGTTAAATTTGTCAGCCTTATCTTGTATAGCTTCTATGTCTGTGTAATACTTATAAAAGTTCTTCCCCAAGCCAGTCTTCTTAAATTTTCATTTGGCAATTGTCGCATACTTTTCTTAATGTTAAAAACTATAAGATATTAGTAATTTTATGGCTGTACAACATGGCCACATTAGAATGGATTTAACATTTTCTGAACCTTTTCTAAACATTTTTGTCCACAGATTTGGTTGACTTTGGCTCTGACTCTCATTTTGATTAGCTAATTGATTTAGAATTCTCTTATCTTTTATGTTATCAGATATTCATATTCTCTGATTTAAAGTTTCCCACATTCTTTTTCATTGTTGAAATTTGTTGATATTTTATTCACTCTTCTGGTCTAGAATTTATTCATTAATTACTGTGGGATAAATTATGTCATTTTTTGCCATTGTATCATATTGATAGTATAATTTTTTTTTCTGTTAAACATAAGCTGAATGTCCATTTTGTTGGTTGCATGTAATAGTCTATATTCATTTATCACATTTTGTATTAAATAATTAAATTCATTAACAGGAAAGATCTTCAACAAGGTCATTGACCAGTCCTTATCTAGGCCAATGTGTTGTTTTTAAAAACTACACCATAATCACTTATTTAACATTTGAAAAATGTGTAAATATTTGACTTCTCCAATGTTAATACTGTGCTCTGACACTGGAGAACTGGTCTGTAGAGTGATGTGATAAGGCCCATTTCTCATCTGCTCTCCGTCCTCATGGAAGAGGTCCAGGAGGCTCTCCTCAAAGGAAGTCCCACTCTGACCAGCTCAGAAGAGAAATCTCAAGATGTGACCTCAACTTTTAAAATGACTTCCTTTCTTTAATCTTGTGTGTTCTAAACTCTTTTGAAGTACAGTTACATGTGTCATTTCCATTCTTTTTTGTGGAAGGAAGTGTTACTACACCCAGTTAATAACAAGAGATACATAAAGATTCTGAGCCATTTTAA